CGATAAAAAGATGACACGATAAACCACTGGAACTTAAATTCTTCAAACCATAATCCTCGTTGGCCTTATTTTAGTCAAAAATAATTCATGATTTTTGTCGCATACTTGACTTGTGTTTTTAATTTTTATTTTTCTATTTCTTCCTTTTCCTGTTGTTATAACAAATATTATATTTATAGTACATTGAAAAATTGGTAATATAGTATAATTTAGTGTAATAGGTAATATAGTAATAGTAATAAAAATAGGTATACGTAGTTTGTTTATAAATAAGTAAATAAGTTATCAAATTGAAAGAATGATTAATAATTATCAAGTACCTCATAATTAGTGTATATTAGAGATCTTCGTAACACTTTATTAACAATAAAATCAACTTCCACTATTATAGAGTAAATTTGTCTACATTTTTCTGTATGCAGACTAAAATTATAAATATTACATAACCAATCCGAAAAAAGAAATATAAATAGCATGTTTTACTAGTTTTGCTAGCTATAATAATTTCTAAAGAAATAAATATAATTTGTAAAATATCATTACTAATTTTTATATGTTACCAGTTTGTTTATGTTACTTAAAATGAATTATTTGACATTGCTGGTATAGTTGTTCACACTTAAACAGGAACATAGGCTCCAAGAATAGCTGGATGAATTCACTTTGTGAAATTGGGGATGCTCCATCTTCTTCTATTTAGGAAGAACAAAGGAAGAGAGCGAAGTAAAGAAAGAGAGAGAGAGGGAAAGTCACGATGAGGTAAAGGACGATATTTCTTTAAACAAAGGAAACATTTTATGCCACGTTTCAAGGGAATAACGACGAAAATAGCGAGAGCGAGCACCACGAATTCTTTAAAGCACGCTTCAAGAAACGAGAGCTGCTCGTTTTAACCCCTTGGCCTCGAATGCCATCTCTGCTTCATCTTTGTCACGCCATGCCTTCCCTCTGTCAAAGTGTGCATGTTACACACGTTATGAAGATTATCATATTCTTATGAGAATTTAAAACGTTTCTTTAATAAAGTTTTACATAGACTATCGTTGAAAATGAGAACAAGCAGAATGAGGTTACGAACATAGTCACTTTTCCCATTTCATTTTATAACGCGAAATATTTCACATAACAATTACCAGTATATGAGTAGAATAATTTTAAAAGGAATTTGAACAATTTAGGAACACCTAACAATTAATGAAATGAGAAAATAGCATTGGAATATTTTATTATGTCCAAATTCAAAATAAAACGTAGTTCTTTTCCAAATATCTCACATAAAGTCTATTTTTAATATTAATCTATATACCAAGCAAGATAAAACATTCTCAGAACCCAAATAAAATTGAAAATTGATTTTTAAATATTTTCAACAATATTAAAATTAAAATTCCTTCTTCTGCAATCATTGTGCATATATTTTGACTTATAAAAATTTCCTTTAAAAATTATTTCATTTTTTCTTTTTAATTCTGCATAACCAAAAACATCTTTATTATCGTAATTTTAATTCTCAGAACCCAAATGAAACTGAAAGTTGTTTTTTAAATATTTTCAACAATATCCTAAAATTCATTTTTCTGCAATCACTATGCACATGTTTTCACTCATAAAAATTTACTTTCAAAAAAGAAATTTAAATTTACTTACTTAAATTTTACTTAACTTTATAAATTTACTTAAAATATAATATTATTTAAATTGATTAAATTACTACATTTTTCCTTTTAATTGCGTATAACCAAAAACATCTGTATTATCATAATTTTTGACAGGAAAAAATTGAGAAACTATATTAATTTTAAATTACACTGTTCCCTGTATTATCATAAATTACTCTACACCTAATCCAAAGGAATCCACATAGCATATACCGAACAGTCACTCTCAACAGACTACCTGACAGGGAAGAATACCTGCGTGAGAAATCGCACTAATTCGATACTTGAGAGACGCAGAAATCCCTGGATAGAGTAATAGATTTTTCACGGCGTTACCGATGCAGTCGCTTGAATCGGGTCCAAAGCAGCTAGGTGGGACATCGGATTTGCTGACACGGAATCCTCCTTCTTCGACTGAACCCTCGGGATCCAGGGGATTCGACTCAGGGTAAATATTGGAATCATGATGAATCTCGTAGATCGTCCTCTGACCGTTTCGTATAACGACTTTTGTCCCTGTAAAACTATAAGATATCAGAAACGATTTACTCCGGGGAGGTAACCCCTGTGGCTCTGTCGATTTAGGTGTAACGATAAAAATAACAGGTACGACGTTCCAATTCCTCGATATTAATTCCCGTCGAACGGATACGATACGGCTACGTGAAAGAGGATCACCGAGGACCGTTTGTTAAAACCGTTTACAAACCTTTCGTTTACCATTGCTTTTCCACTTAATACCGGGGGCTTATGGTGAAGGAGTGTCTACCTGGGAGATAGAGGGAGACATTATGAGTTTAAAGGGTGCTTAAACGGGATGTGGAAAGTATTTTTATTTTTGGAATTACCGAGTTCAAGCTCTTCTGGAACTTTATATTTGGCTTCGAATTTGCATTCTGAAATTAAACAGGACTGGAGGGAAGAAATGTACTAACTTTGGCGTGGTTTGAAGAATTACTGATTTAAGAACTCCGGAGTGCAACTGTGAAAGTTTCTTAGGGGGTATAATTGTGCAACTATTTTTCGTGGTAATTCTTCTGGTATAGTATATAGTATAGTATATTTAGCGTGGTTAGTTATAAAGGACTAGTAATTTGTTTATATATTTTTCACTTTTATTGATTAATTCTGTCCATTAATTTGTTTATCTATATATTATTTTTATTTCAATTCTGTATACCGATTTGTTTATTTATTTTCTGTGATTTTTCTTGATAATTTTTCGGGTATAGTATATAGAATAGTATATATAGTAATAGTATATATAGCGTGGAAGATATAAAGAACTAGTAATTTATTTATGTACTTTTCACTTTTATTTCAATTCTGTCTATTAATTTATTTATCTATTGTTCATATTTATTTCAATTCTGTCTATCACTTTGTTTGTTTGTTTTTCATTTTTATTTAAATTTTCGAGTTTTATTCTTATTCAGAGTTTTACTCTAGTGTGCAACTGTGAAAGCTTCGTAAGGAACATAATTGTGCAACTATTTTTCGTGATAATTTTTCAAATATAGTATATATACTAATAGTATATAGTATAGTATATATAGCGTGGTTAGTTATAAAGGACCAGTAATTTGTTCATATATTTTTCACTTTTATTGATTAATTCTGTCCATTAATTTGTTTATCTATATATTATTTTTATTTCAATTCTGTATACCGATTTGTTTATTTATTTTCTGTGATTTTTCTTGATAATTTTCCGGGTATAGTATATAGAATAGTATATATAGTAATAGTATATATAGCGTGGAAGATATAAAGGACTAGTAATTTATTTATGTACTTTTCACTTTTATTTCAATTCTGTCTATTAATTTATTTATCTATTGTTCATATTTATTTCAATTCTATCTATCACTTTGTTTGTTTGTTTTTCATTTTTATTTAAATTTTCGAGTTTTATTCTTATTCAGAGTTTTACTCTAGTGTGCAACTGTGAAAGCTTCGTAAGGAACATAATTGTGCAACTATTTTTCGTGATAATTTTTCAAATATAGTATATATACTAATAGTATATAGTATAGTATATATAGCGTGGTTAGTTATAAAGGACCAGTAATTTGTTCATATATTTTTCACTTTTATTGATTAATTCTGTCCATTAATTTGTTTATCTATATATTATTTTTATTTCAATTCTGTATACCGATTTGTTTATTTATTTTCTGTGATTTTTCTTGATAATTTTCCGGGTATAGTATATAGAATAGTATATATAGTAATAGTATATATAGCGTGGAAGATATAAAGAACTAGTAATTTATTTATGTACTTTTCACTTTTATTTCAATTCTGTCTATTAATTTATTTATCTATTGTTCATATTTATTTCAATTCTATCTATCACTTTGTTTGTTTGTTTTTCATTTTTATTTAAATTTTCGAGTTTTATTCTTATTCAGAGTTTTACTCTAGTGTGCAACTGTGAAAGCTTCTTAAGAAATATAATTGTGCAACTATTTTTCGTGATAATTTTTCAAATATAGTATATATACTAATAGTATATAGTATAGTATATATAGCGTGGTTAGTTATAAAGGACCAGTAATTTGTTTATATATTTTTCACTTTTATTTCAATTCTTTCTATTAATTTGTTTATCTATTTTTCATTTTTATTTCAATTCTGTCTATCAATTTGTTTGTCTATTTTTCATTTTCATTTCAATTTTCGTGTTTTATTCTTGTTACTTTGGTAATGTAGTCCACGTAGAATGCAAATTTTATTGAATGTTAATCTATTAAAATCCCTTGTCAAGTGTAAGCCAATTTTAATTTCATTCGTTCTTATTTAGAAATTCGATGAATATTTCTGCAAAGTTCCAATGTTATTATCAATGTAATTAATAACAAAAATTTGTTTAAATTCCATCCTATCTGTGAACCATCTCTGGAGATACATTTAAAATAAAATACTTGAAATTATAGAACTGTCTATAGAAATTGTCTAAAAAGAGAATGAAAAGTGCAAAGGATTAATACTCAAGTGCATTGAATATTATTATTTGCAAGAAAGTATCGATATGCAGAAATTAAATTTATACTTTTGATGATGCACGATTAATTAAGTATAACAAACAATTTCATAAATAAAAAATATCTTCTATTTCAACCACTACACAAATCTCAAGTGCAGAAGATAATTGTGTGTGTTAAAATCTGTAAATGTAACATAATCATACAATAATGTTCATGTTTGTGTGAATTCTCTTATGAGTTAGGAGTATATCAAGCAAGGAACTATTTTAGCAAACATTAAAAGCAAACGATATATCATACAATATAAAGTAGAATGATAAGTAAAATATTATCATTTTCACTATACTCAATGTATCATTAATTTCACTACAAATTGTCGAAATGCAAATGCTCTTATGCTTAGAGTCTTGTCAACTTCACGTACAATCCGTGTGTTGGCTGCAGGAAGAACAATGACTTCTTATCTATGTCATATTCTTTGAACGTTTTCTCGCATTCCTCGATTCTGAATTTCGATAAGATACTGATGATTGACACCTTTGACTGATTCTTCGCAAATCTTGCACCTGAATAGAAAATTATTCAAAATTATTTCACAAATATAAAGTACATATTATGGTTATCATTAGTAATATATAATTGTTATAAATAATTTATATAAATTAGTATACATATAATATGTGCATAACGTTATTTCGTATGTAAATAATTATTTTAAAATTGTATTACTTAATATATAATATATGAAACTATTTCATTACATAATAATTATAATATAATAATTAAAACAATTATCGCAATAACGTTATTATTATATTATAATTATTATTAAT